CCTCGACGCGGGGCCGCTTAGCGGGTGCACCGCGCCCAGAGGTTGCCTGAAGGGCTGCGGGCGAGATGGCGGCGCTGGGCTGTGAGCGGGGCCGGGGCCTCGGTCCTCTGCGGAGGGACGGGGCCGGGGGGAGAGGCCTGGAGGGGGGCGACCTGGGCCGCGCTGGAGGTCCCGGGGCCCTGGGGGGGGACCGGGCCGGGGTCTCCGGGGCGAGGCAGGGACCGCAGCTCTCCCCGGGGAAGCGGGCTGTGACGGGGAGGGGGGGTCCCCGTCCCCGTCCCCGTCCCCTGCGGGACAGCCCAGGGCTCGTCCCCGGGACGGGGGTCCCACGTTGAGCTCTCTCCCGGGTTCGGGCCGTTCGCCTTTCCCCCGGTGAGGGGCTCCGGCCGGAGCTGAGCTCTCCCGTCCTCTCTCGTTGCAGGTCTTCGGCTCTCTCGGCGCGGAGTGCCGGCCTGGCGGTGAGGGCCGGGGCCGGAGGGCGCTGGGTGTCCGTGGGTGGGAGCGCTGGGGGGGGCCCCGGGGCGATGACACCCCCCGATCCCCCCTTCCCGTGCCGGGGAGCCCCCAGCGAGCTGGCTCGGGGTGGGTGGGAGGGTTGGGTGTTCAGCGGGGTTCTCTTCTCCCGCTGGCTTTGATCAGAGCGCTTGCTTTCTCCGTTTTTTGGGGCGGCTCAGCCCCCCCCCCCCCGGGGGGGGGGCAGCATGGACAGCGGGGGGGCTGTGGGAGCGTGTCGCACCGGGGTGCGATGGGTTTTCTTTTTTCCCAGGCCGGGTGCCGTGACATCCGTTCACACTCGGCTGCTCCATCAGACACCAGCGGTTGACCGCGCCGACAGGTAACGCTGGCGCTTCAGGGCAGGTTCCTGGGCTGTGAGCTTCCTCCCGCGGGTGGGGGATCCCGGGTGGTGCAGGGGAAAAAAAGGTTCTGTTTGCTGTAGCTCTGTCTCCCCACACATGACCGTCTTTTCCGCACTTCACTTCTTAAAAGCCAAGGTTGACTGGCAGGCTGCTGTCAGTCTGTGATGAGCCCGACAGGCACGCTCCGTAATTTGGGTACTGCGAACAGAGGGGCTCTGCCTGAGCAACAAAACCCCACAGATCTCCTCACAGTGGGGGGGGGGGAAAAACCCTGTTATAAACACAGTCTCCAGTGGTAGCAGAGGGTGTGAGATTGTCCATAAGCAGTGTACCATGGATTCTTTATGGGATCACAGCTGCTCGAGGCTAATGATTGTATTCTGCAGTTACGCTTAATAATTGGAGACTGATACTACTATGCCGTTTGTCTTCAGCTCTGTCCAAGTCCAGCAAAAGAGCTCAGCTGTTGTCCAGAAAAAATCCTATGTGCCCACTAGCAGGGGTGAATATATTGTCACCAAACTCGATGACCTGATCAACTGGGCGCGAAGGGTGAGTCACTGAAACTGTCATGCTCACTAGAGAGAGAAATGGTATTGAATGCTTTGAGGTGCTGGTGGGAATGGATTTGAGCCATCTCCTCCTCAGGATAAAAATAGGTTCAAAGTTCTCCACAGGGAAATAGCCAAGTTTCTTGGCTAGATGTTGACATTTGGGGTACTGTGTCATAGTGGGAGAGAGAAGAGACGTTTAATGTGAGGGTGGTGCAAAGCAGCGCAGGCTGCCTGTCTAAACAGAGCTCTCCTTCAGTAACGAGCAAAAGGCACTTTCTGGTTTTGTGTAGTCCTTGTAATGAGCAGCTGCTCTGTGCAGTGGAGTGACACTGCCCTGAATCCAGTGTGCTCTGGCTGAACTGAGTTTTCCCTTCTCCAGCCCTTGTGCGGGGCTTCTGAGGTGGCCGCTTCAGCAGCATGAGATGTCAAGGGGAGACTCTACGGCTTTGGGTGCCTTCAGCATCTCTGAGGCCACAAATGCACTTCTATTTCCCTGGAGCTGTGGGTTTTGCTGTCCTGTGTAATGGCAAACACCGTTTTCGTTTATGATGCCCTGACTAAACAGACCTTGAAACTTTTCTTGTTCTGTTTCCTTTTCTGTCTGATCAACTCTTGTTCTGTGAGTCACCCACCCAGGGTCTCAGCTCCTGCTTTCAGTGTTCTTACCCATAACCCGCGTCTCTCCTGCTGCAGAGCTCCTTGTGGCCGATGACGTTTGGCTTGGCGTGCTGCGCTGTGGAGATGATGCACATGGCGGCTCCCCGCTATGACATGGACCGCTTTGGGGTGGTGTTTCGAGCTAGTCCCCGGCAAGCTGATGTCATGATTGTGGCCGGCACCCTGACGAACAAAATGGCTCCAGCTCTTCGAAAGGTACGGACTGCAGTGGACGCCTTGCACATGGCTGCACGTGCTGGATGCAAGTAGAAAGTGGTCTGAAATGTCTGTGTTCTGCAGGTCTACGACCAGATGCCGGAGCCTCGCTACGTGGTCTCCATGGGGAGGTAAGTACCGGGACATCCTTATCCTCCGAGGGAGAGAATTGGTGTCTCTGCTTGAGTGGGGAGATGAAGGGAGGGGAACCTGTTTCTCATTTGTATTTCCAACCCCTTAAATTATATACAGAGGCCTTGTTACAAATGAAACGTAAAGACTCCCTTTGATTTGGGTGAGGAGGATGATGTCTGTCAAGTCACCGTGAACTGCAAAGTCTTCCCAGTGAAAGATTCTGGGGTTTTTGCGGCTGTCAGAGTCCACGGACTTGTATATGTCGAGAATCTCAGAATTTGCATTTAGACGAAAGCTTTCAAAATGCTTCTACTGTGCAGCATAAAATCTGAGCTTTGTGGAGCTCTGGCATGATGGAACTGACTACTTGTTTGTCTTCTGGGGCTCCTGGGGCCAAAGGGCGGCCATTTCACCAGGGCCTGGAGGGGACAGAAAGAGTTCTAGAAACACTCTGTACAGGTGTGGCAAAATAAAAAAGGTTTTGCAGTAGAGAGGAAGGACCCTCTGAATATCTGCTTTGTAAGAGTGATGAAAATGGTTCGGTTTGGTTTGATTCAGCTTGAAATGTAACAGCCTGCGAGTGTAGCCTCTGCCTTTCAGCCAAGGCTTGTGAAGAAGCTGAATGGCCACGGCGTAAACCTTGGCATCTGCTCCATCCCTTCCTTACTGTAAAATCTGTCCGGTGGCTCCTTGCCTCACAGCACTCGCATGCCAGGTTCACCTTCTCCTTTGCCTCCTGCTCATCTTTCCTGTGGGCTGTTGAGCCGCATTTAACAAGGTGCTGAAACCCACCCGTCTCTTGCAGCTGTGCCAACGGCGGGGGTTACTACCACTACTCCTACTCCGTGGTGAGGGGCTGTGACCGCATTGTGCCAGTGGACATCTACGTGCCAGGTAGGAAACACAGCTCTGCGTGCTGCGGTGCTAACTTGGAGCAGGACAGGAGTGAAGTTAATTTTGTACGTTTTGAAGGTGCTTGGTGTAGTTTTTGAAGATCTTTCTGTTTCAAGTTGTGTTGCTGAAGTTGCAGATGTTTCAGGAAGATCTGCCTGGGGTTTCCAGTAAGCGAGTGGAGCTCTGGTGATGTCACTCGCCAGTAATAGTTGTGTAAAGTGTGGGCTGTAGTTTAGTCAACCACATAATCTCCTGTGAGATACCACCTTGCTTAAAAGCAAAGCCTTTCTACATTTTGTAAAGGCCTTTTTCAAAAAACACCATCAGTTGCTTTAAACTAAAGGAGCCCTCTTGCTTTTATGAACTCTGCAGCCTGAGACATACACGAAGCCAGAGGGAAGTCACAGCCTGCTTTGGGGTAAAGCTTGTGGGTAGTTCTTCTGCTGGCTACATTTCAGTGCAGCTAGCAGCCCTGTGGGCTTCCTTTTTCTCCCGCAGGTTGTCCACCTACTGCTGAAGCTTTGCTGTACGGAATCCTGCAGCTTCAGAAGAAAATCAAACGGGAGAAGAAGATTCAGATCTGGTACAGGAAATAGCCTCCTATTTATGACCTACCCACTACTGCCCACCTGGGGCACCTGCTTGCATTTGTACGCACAATAAATCTGTATTCTCACAAGCCTTCCAATAAACCTCTACCTGGTTAAGATGCTCTTCTGTCTTTAATATATCCCTGTTATCCAAAGTGTTTTTAACTTGTTTAAAAACTGAATTAAGAAGCAGGAGTTGAATTTGATAACATTTGGTGTGGTGTTTTCTGGTCTGAATAGCCCATGAGGGAAGGAGAATGCTTGAAGTTACCTATCATGATATAAATGCCTTGCCAGAAACCTAGGACTTGCTCTTCAGCTTTGTTGGGAAGTTTTGAGACCATCACACATCCAGGTGAGCCCCAAGGCCTCCCTGAGCTTGTCTCATACTCGCCACCTGCTTTTTGTTTATAATTCCTACAAAGGATCTAATAAATCCTTTCTATCTGTGTGCTCAGCAGCCAGAAATTAATTATATTTCTGTAATGTAAGTAAATAATAATGCTTAAAATCAGACTATGACTAATAAAAATGAATGCTGCAGCACTCATTAGCACAGTAGGAATAAAGCAGCCCGTGGTGGGCTTTGGTACTGGATGCGTCCCAGGAGCCTGGTGTGGTGTTCTCCTGGCAGCCCGGGATGAGGAACAGTCAGGGCAGAATTTACACACGCACTTTTGAAAGACAAATAAATTGCTCTGAAACAGCAGTTGTTTATTTCATTGCTTTTTAATGGATTTTACCCCGTCTGGGTAGAGAGAGGAAACGTCATTTATGCGCTATTGAACTGCAAGGAGGTTGTCAGGAGCAGAACTCGCTGCAGTGGGCTTTAGCCAAAAGTATCAGGAACCTTCACTGGAGAGTTGCTCCAGGAGCAGTCGAAATGCCTCCAACTGCCCCGTCTTCCCCATTTCTCCTGCCAGGTTTAGATTATTTGGCCTGTGTGTGGAAAGCCACCCCATGGCTTCTAAAAATGATCCAGTTTTTAGAAGAAACGTCTCGTCCTTGAACCCCTTTGGCTAAAGGTTCTGAGCCACACTCTTGAACTGCAGCTTAATTGAGGTATTTGGAGATGACGGTGAGTCTTGAGTAGAAACCGGCCTCTGGGACAGATGCAGGGTGGGACCTTCCTCCACAGAGCCCAGAAGACCCCTCCAAGGCAGGGGGCTGCATCGGGCTTGGTGACATTTGCGGTGAGGCGAGAGTCCTGAGTCCTTTTGTCCAGGAGGTCCCCTGGAGACCCAGGACTTCCATCATAAGCCTCCAGCCATCTCCGGTCTCCAGATTAATCAGCTTCAATCTTCTCTCAATAGCATCAAAGGAGATAAGAGTTTTTCTCCTTGCAGTGCACATAATCAGCCTCTTCTCCTTAGCGTTTGCTTCCTGCGGCTTCGGAGCAGCCCCGAAGGACGGTGCCAGGCTGCCGGCACCCTCACTGCTTAACAATGGTGGGTGTGATCATCTTGTGGAAGGAGTAGTACCTGCAGTCCTTGGGGGGGACCAGGTCCATCACCGTTGTGCTGATGTTCTCCTTCTTGAACCCGGCCTCCACCAGTTGCCCTACCTGGGTCTCCTGTGGGAGAGGAGGTTTGAGCTGCCTGGATGCAACTGGAGATGCTCCCGAGACCTGGTCCGTCTGAGACGGGACAGCACGAGCAGCCGGGAGCGCTGTCTTGGGCTGCTGCGGGCAAAATCCCTCTGACCTTCCCTCCCGTGTTCCCTGCTGAGCCCCAGCCATCACAGATGAGTTAAACAGCCATGGAGTGCTCTGGCTTGTGCTGCTCCGTGGCCACAGTGTCAGGCAAGTGCCTGGGGATGCAGGAGGTGCGCAGGCTGACAGGGTGGCTTTGGGGACCCCAGGTTGGGCTGGGGGTGCCAGGGCCTCCCCAGCCCGGGGAACAATGCTCACCTCAAACATCTTCTCGATGTCGGTGTACTTGGTCTTCAGCAGCTCCCCCCAGGAGGTCAGGTTGCAGTAGGTGAGGACCCCGCCGGGCTGCAGCAAGCGGAAGGCATGGTCCTACAATGAGAATCAAGGGGGACCTGGCTCAGCACCCAGCACTTGGCCCCCGCCTTGCAGAGCACCCAGCGCTCAGCACCCGGCCCCCACCTTATCCCCCTCCAAGCTCTTGCTTCTCCCCATAGAGCTGGACATTGGCCCTGTCCTCCACGCCCTCCTGCTGCTCCCCTCTGGCTGGCTGTGACCACACAGACTGAAAGTGCTGCCAACACCAACGCCATGCTGGGGACATCACGGGGACATTGGGGTTTTCCAGAGGGCACTAAGTCCCAGGTGGCAGGGAGGGTGCTGGGAATGGCAGGGGTTGCAGACCAACACCCGGCTCTGGCTTTGACTCCTGAGCTCCGAAATTCTCCTCTCTGCCCCGTGTGCCCTCCATGTCCCCCACACCCACCTGAGCCGGGGGCTCCGGCCCCTCACAAAGGGCGGTGGGAGGTGTGGGTGCCGCACCCCGCCATGTTACCTTGATGAAGGTGAACTGATGCGTGTGCCAGCTCTCCTGCGACAGCGGGTAGGTGTCATACAGGATCCCTGCCCAGAAACACCGGAGACCGCCCATTAGCTGGGAGAGACCAACGAGGTGCCAGTGGGGCTCGTGTGCCAGGGGGAAGATCCCCCTTCATGGCCTGTTACTGTTTTTTTTCCTATTTAAAGTTGCACCCCATGTCTCCGACCCCTGGAAGGCAGTGATGTGCTGCTCCCCAGGACAAGGTGCTGCTCCCCGGGCACACTGGCCACAGTCCGTCCCCGCCACTGCGGGAGGGAGCCAGGCTGAGTGCTTGCCTGCACCGTGAGCCCTGCCATGGGGACTCCCACCCTGTCACCCCCTCTCCAGTCCCACCGGGCTCAGTTATGCGGTGCCTTACCCCTGAAGTGCCCATCCGGCAGCGTCGGTATCACGTCCTCCCACAGCCCCTTCAGGGGCACAACCTGTGGGCGGGAGGGCAGAGGGGTGAGCCTCGGCAGCAGGCGCCCACCGGCACCGCGCACCGGCACAACCCGTCCCAGACCTTGTGCGGCTGTGTCCTGGCCCACTCCTCCAGCCGCTGGAAAACTCCCTCGTTGCACTCGATGATCCAGTGCTCCTCAATGTCAAACTCCTCCACCTTGGTGGCGGCGATGGCCATGCCGAAGCCCACCTCCAGCACGCAGCCACCTGGGGACGAGAGGGCAGCTGGGGGGGGGCCTATGCCTCCCCAGGAATGCCGGGCAGCCGGTGCAAGCCCAGCGAACACAAAGACCTGGTTTTCTCCACCTCGGAGTCCCCCCGCAGCCCCAAATGCTGCCCCGCTCTTTCTCTGAATGGGGCTTTTTTTGGCACACGTTGGTAAAGCACGGTGCTGTCCATCCTGGGGTGAGAAGCCGGGAGCAGCCCCGTGCCCCCATCACCCGCTGCCTCCCCAGCTGCACCCTGCAGCAGCTCTTTGCCCCCACTGACACCCCCCCCGCCCAGGCAGCTGCAGTGGGAACAAGCAACCGCTTGCAGTGGTGCTGCTGATACCCTCTCTCCGCTGGCATGCAGGAAATGCAACCCAAAGAGCAGCAGGTCCCAGCTGGGCTGTGCTCTGCCCCTGCCAGCGGCTGCACCCCCACCCCCTGCCATCTTCGCGGCCCAGCCCCTTTTGGGAATGTGTCACCCTGACGCAATAGCACAAGTGCCACCATGGCCCCATGCCCACTGTTGCTGCGTGGGGAGCACCGGCGGCAAGCGGGGCGCATATAGTGGGGTCCCCCAGCAGCAACGTGTCCCCCCCCCCAACGTTGTTTGCTCATGGGAAAGCTGCCTGCTCCTCATGCCTGAGCTGCACCCCCACAGCACGGCCCCAAGCCTGTGGAGCCACCCTTACCCCTCGACGCGGCCACAGCTGCCAGCGAGTGCATGTAGGGGGTCTCCCAGCGCTCCATCACCGGCTTCCCCAGGATCTCCAGGTGGGCGTCAGGTGCATCGTAGCCAGCTGGTGCCTCCCGCCAAGCCGCCCGGCAATCCTCGCCCTCTGCGAAGATGGGCCTTGCCACTGTCTGGGTGCTCATGGCTGTGCCGTCGCTGCTGTGGGGAGGAAAGTCCACCGGCTGGGCTCTGCAGTGCTGGGGGAGGGAAAGGGGCCTCTCGGCTCTTGGCCAGTTTTAAATAGCCAAGGGCTGGAAAAGTGCTGAGTGTGCACGGGGAGCTGGCGACCTTCTGGGTGAAATGGATTCCTTATCAGAAGCTGGGGGTGGCGGGGGGGTGGGGGACACCATGAGGCAGGCAGGGGCTGCCAGGCCCCGAGCAGCCATGCATGGCTGCCTGCACAGGCACAGCTGGGTGGGAGTGACCTGGTGCTCCATGTTGGAGCAGGGCTGGGGGGAGTGGTGGTGCAGGAGCTGGGCCCCACTCCTGGTGGCACCATGCCATGGGTGGCTGGAGTGGGAATGACCAGAACCGCTGCCTGCCGGAGCTGGATCACTGCAACTGAGGGACACACAACACACGGAGGAAACGCTTTTCCCCTCGCTGTGCCGTGCACCGGGGGCCGTGCACAGGGTCGTGGCCCCCCGCTCCTCCATGCACGGTGCTGTGCCTGGCCGGGGGTGACCCGGACCCCCTCACAGCAGAGCCGGGCTACACTGGGTGGAGTGGAAGGGATGGTCCTGGGGGGCTACGGGGGGGGCGCTGAGCCAGGCACCGGCCCGGGGAA